ATTTAAATTTTCTCTTTTCCTCCAAAAATCTGAATCATCTTATTCCCTACCTCTTTTCTTATTTTATGATTTATTTTTTATTTATTTTATTTATTCTGAAAATTCGAAATTTTCTGCGGCACCCTAAAATCTGATTAGGACTTAGCCATTCTTGCTTTCGGCACACATTTTGATCCCGTGGGGGTAATGAAGTGCTGCCGAAATTTTCTGTTTTCTTCATACTTAGTCTTTTTCAGCACATTTTGACCCCTTGGGGGTGACGAAGTGCTGGCATAATCTTCTTATTTTTCTTTCTTCTTCACGGCACACTTCGACCCCATGGGGGCAACGAAATGCTGCCGAAATTTTTGAAAAATTCCAAAACTTAGCTTCTCTTCACTCTCCTCCACCTCCTTATTTATTTATTTATTTACTTATTTATTTTTTTGAAAATTTTAATTTGCGGCATTTTGAAAGTTAGTGTGTTCCTCTTGAACTTTCCTTCCTCTTGGCACATTTTTGACCCCATGCGGGGTGGAAAAATGCTGCCGAAAATTCAAAAAAAATAAATATTCTCTCTCTCCTTACTCTTTACATTTTATTTATTTATTTATTTTTATTTATTCTTTTATTTTATTTTTATCTCGAAATTTTATTTTTTATTCTATTTTCTTTCCCCCCCCCCCCCTTCCACATTATCTTTTTCTTGATTAGGTCGCCGCTACCCTCCCCTAACCACTTAAACTCCGGTTAGGGTTTTCTTAGGGTTTTTCTAGGGTTAAGGGTTCTTATAAACCCCCTACTCTCCCGCCTCCTCCCGTCGGGCACCCTGGACCCGAACGGCTCCTCCCCCCTCGAGCGATTTGGCACGTTCTTCTCACGCGCGACCCGCCAAATCCGGGGTGAGCCGACTCACACATACTCACTCAGCTCTCGCGGTCCCCTTCCTCTTATCGGCGGGCCCCTCTCCCCACACACCCCCGTGAGATCTACCTCCCTTTCCCTTCCGACCATGGAAGGGAGTTCCTTTGAGGAGATCACCGCGGCGCCGTCCACCTCCCAGATGAGCGTTCAGCCAGCGGGTCAGGGTCAGGCCCATGCGGACACGATGGACCTTCATGCCACCCTCGTAGCGATTCAGGCGCAACTTAGTACGCTTGGACCATTGCAAGCGCAAATCAATGCGCTTGCCCTTGACGTCAACCGCCTCAAGGGCTCTCCTCATCACTCTCCCCACCACTCCCATACCCCATCCCCTACCGGCTCCGAGTCCGGCTCCCCACGACTCCAGAGTCGGAGACATCATGGTTCCCGCTCCTCTACGGGCCACGCCCAACACTCCCCCGCAGCAGTGGCGAGTGCTGCTGCCGCTCAGACCACCCCGTCTGTTGCGGCAGTTCTCCCGGCAACAGCCGCCCCTACCGTCTCTACTACTGTCGTAGGTGCTGCGGTCCAGGTACCGCCTCGAGGCCCAGCAGTTTCATCGACCCACACCGGTATTGCTTCCCAGCTTCCCGCACCGGTCGCGGCAATATGGCTCCGCCCTCTTCTTCCCGCCTTTGTCCCCCCACCCCCACAGCTGGGTACGGCTCAGACTGGGATTCCTCCTCCCACTAGGAGACCCGCTCCGCCCCCTCCACCTCCGACCCCGCGCACCCTGCGCGTGGCCACTTTACAGGCCACCATTGCGCAGGCTAAGGCGGAGATTCTCGCTCTGAGACAGCCTCAACCATCCCAGGCTGCCCACCCTTCTTCCTCTACCACCCCTTCGGTCCCCATGATGCAGGCTCGTTTCCCTCGACTTGCTCCTCAGCCGGGACAGCTGCCCGCGACCGTTGCCTCCTCGTCTGTTGGTCCATCCGCTAGCGGCCACGGCCCACAGCCTTCCCCCACCTCTGCCCCTGCAGCGACCTTGACTTACGCTGCCGCAGTGCACTCGCCTCAATCTCTCTCCCCCCACCATCAGCACAGTGGACATCCTCCTGTGCGCACCACGGACATTCCCGAGTATGATGGCACAACCCGTGTCTCTCGCTGGTTGCAGATAGCAACGCGCACACTCTCTATGACGACCACCCGTCAGGAGTTGTGGTGCGATGTGCTCGCAACCAAATTGCGAGGTAGCCCTTCCACTGCGTGGGAGAATCATTATACCCAGCGCCTCCGCGTGGGTGAGGTCCCCACTCTGGCCGACTTCGCGGTCTTCCTTCAGGACCGTTTCGGCGCTCGTCATAACGCCACCGACGCCTTAGACCACGTCACCCAGACCAGATGGTCCGGGTCCTCTGTACCGGCCGACCTGGAACGTCACATCTGGGTGTTTCAGGACGCTCGCCTTGTTTGTGACGAGAAGTTCCTACCGGAGGTCACACTCACCGAACGGTTCCTTGTCAGCCTGCCGACTGACTATCGCCTAGAGCTATAGAGGTGATCATTCTCTTCCGCGGAGCAGGCATACGAGGCTGCGCGTCAGTACCAGAGGATGTGCAGTCGCTTTCCGTCGCCCCATCCTCTTCGCGGCCAGCCGCCACCTCTCAATCTCGGGGTACCACCCGAGGTCGCTCCTCGTTTGCTGGTCGTTTTCGTCGCCCGCCCCGCCCTGGAGCGTCATTCTCTCAACGCTACAGTTCTCTGGAGTACGGCGAGGACGCCTCGACCGAGTTTAACCCTACCCTTGGGGACGCCCCCGAGGACATCGAGCTACGAGACGTCATCCAGTATCACTTGGATGACGACACTGTTCCGGTGGCCGAGCGCTTGCTGATGGCCATGTCTGCCATGGGTCGTGCTCGTAGTCGGGTTGCACAGGCTGGCACGCACACACCCACGGTTCCTCATATAGACCTCCCGCACGGTTATGTCCCTCCTCGCGGAGCTCTATCCCCTGAGGAGCGTGCCGCCCTCGAGGCCCGGCACGGCTGCCTTCGTTGCCGCCTAGATGGACACACCTCCTCACGATGTCCATACCATACCGCCCTCGATCGGCACTACGCTGACATCTCTCGTCAGCGTCGATCTCAGTCCCCCCCCGGCCCCGCCCGGCCAGCCCCATCCACCTAGCCACGGTGCACTGTGCCCCTGAGGCCTCGCTCGTAGCCGGCTTTCCGACCACCGAGTCGCGGTTTGCCCCTTTGGCTACCCCACCAGNCGTAGCCGGCTTTCCGACCACCGAGTCGCGGTTTGCCCCTTTGGCTACCCCACCAGAGGACCCTCAGGACACGATAGACGCAGTTCTCTCCGCCCCATCGTCTATCAAGGTACCGTCTGCCTCCCAGCAGACTGCCGCATCTAGTGCTTCTCGCTTGAGACTTCCGACGCGTCGCGCCATTCGCACAGCCCGTTGTGGCGCTCAGTTGGCGACTCGCGATGACGTTGTGTTATCTCTCCTGGACTTGAGCATTCTGCAGGCTCGTCAGGAGCGCCTCACGAGACACATCAACGTCCTGCGTYGTCTTCTCGCCTTGCTCTCTGACCCTGATCGCACCCTACCCATCATCCCTATTCACCTAGGGACATCTACGAGGGTGTACCGCGCTTTATGGGACTCTGGCTCGCAGGGAGATTTCGTTCACCCTCGAGTGGTTGAGGAAGCTCGCCTAGCTACCTCTGGGTCTCGCTCTCCTATCTCCGTTACCCTCGGAGATAACAAGACGCAGCGCTTCTTCGATCAGACAGTCCCCGACCTCCACTTCTCTCTTACCCTCCAGCCACCGGATAGTACCCAGGCGCCTCGGCGCTACCATTCCTTCGCCTACTTCGACATGTTGGAGACTGGGTACGACTTTATCCTTGGCACTCCCTGGTCTCGCCGGTTCCATAGCACAGAGGCCGAATGGGCGTTTGAGACACTCATTCTCAAAACGAAGTGTGGTCAAACCCATCGAGTCCCCGTCATTGGAACCACGGACGACACCCCTTCAAACCTACCTCCCCAGGACCCTCGTCCTTCTGGGTCCCACCTAAACATCTCCTTCACTTCTCCCCGTCAGTTTGCTCACTTCATCCGACAGGAGAACGTCACGCTCTACTCAGTGAACGTCATGGATCTTCTTCGCTACGATCCACTCTGTCCCGAGGTTGAGCTCATCTCACTGGAGCCCGATCCCCCTGACCCTTCCTCCATCTTCGCGGCTCCCATCTCTACATCCACCCCGCAGCCTGCGGATACCCCCTCGACATCCCAGGTTCCTACGCCGTCCATTGTCGAGTCCACCCATACGTCTCGTGCCGACGCAGACGTTGAGGAACTCATGCGGTTCATGACTGACTTAGAGCCCGTCATTCGCGACCTGATTCGGGAGTACCGCGACGTCTTCCCCCCGTATTTCTCATACAGCGGGATTCCCCCGATGCGCGGTGTCGAGCATTCCATCCAGTTCGTGCCTGACTATCGTGTTCACCATCACGCACGATACCGACTCTCGATTCCAGAGGCAACGGAACTCAAGCGTCAGCTTGAGGAGCTCCTTCGACTTGGTTTCATTAAACCTAGTAACTCCCCTTGGGGTGCACCTGTCCTCTTTGCTCGCAAAGCGGACGGAACTCTCCGCCTCTGCATCGATTATCGCAGCCTTAACCGTTACACGGTTAAGAACAGTTATCCCACGCCCCGCGCGGATGAGCTGTTTGACCGTCTGGCAGGCAACCGCTTCTTCACGAAGATCAATCTTCGTAGCGGTTACCACCAGATCCGCGTTGCCGCAGAGGACCAGCCGAAGACCGCCTTTCGGTCGCGCTTCGGCCACTACGAGTTCACGGTGATGCCATTCGGCCTCACCAATGCACCCGCCACCTTCCAGACGGCGATGAACGACATCTTCAGGGACATCCTTGAAGAATACGTTCTCGTATACCTGGACGACATCCTGGTCTACAGTCGTACCTTAGAAGACCATATCAGACACCTCCGCGATGTCCTACAGCGCTTACGCAAGCATGGCTTCTATGCCAAGCTTAGTAAGTGCCGCTTTGCCCAGCGCAAAGTGGACTTCCTAGGACACCATGTGTCTGACCAGGGTCTCCACATGGACGACGCGAAGATCACTGCTATTGCAGAGTGGCCTATCCCCACATCTGCCAAGCAGCTTCGCAGCTTTCTAGGCCTCACCATCTACTATAGTAATTTTATCCAGGGATACGCTAGGTATTCCTACGTCCTTACCTCCACCCTCCTCCGAAAGAACCCGCCGTGGTTTTGGACACCCCTCTGCGAGGACGCCTTCCGCGCCCTCAAGAAGGCGGTGACTTGCGCGCCGGTTCTTCGCCTTCCCGATTTTGATCGTCCCTTTATCGTCACCACCGATGCGTCAGATTTTGCAGTAGGAGCTGTCCTTTCTCAGGTGTTTCCCTCTCCTCCAGATTCACCTTACCCCCACGTTCCTCCTTTTCTCCCCCCTCCTGCTGACACTGCTTCTCGACTGACGCCTATCCTACCACCACTTCCCTCCACTGACAGTCCTCCCACTACCTTCTCCCCGACCATCGCGGAGGATGGGACTGTCGAGGCTCGTGCTGGGGATTGCCCGATCACTTTCTACTCCCGTCAGCTACTACCTGCCGAGATAAACTACACTGCCGATGAACGTGAGGTTCTCGCAGTAGTTTATG